TTGTAGATGTAAAATCGCTATATAACATTCAGTTCGAGTTATAGAAAAATTCGGGTTAAAATTAAATGTTATTGCCAAAAGTTAATTCCACTTAATTTGTTTTGAGTTATAGAGCGGTATGTGTCTTTGGAGCCTGACTAAAAATTCAGTATATATTTTATATATCTTGGAAACTACAATAAAATACTTTTTTAAAATAATATTTAAAATTTTTTTGTTTGCCTTTTGCTCGATAAATATCAACTCTTCGTAATAAATAATATTAGGATTTTATTAATGTTTAAAGCTGTATAGTGGCTGTCAATCCGGTTTGGGAATTAAGTTAGAGATTCGAAGTACGTATGGACCAACGTACAATAAATTAAGAATAGATCAACCAATCAACTAAGAAAACCCAGTTTGAAAGAAAAACTAAGTGAAGAAAAAACAAGTGAAAAAGTTAGAAAATCGAGATGGCCCTTATTGTTTACTTACAAAATAAAATAGGTGTGAAAAAATTATGCATCGGCCGGGAATCGAACCCGGGCCGCCCGCGTGGCAGGCGAGCATTCTACCACTGAACCACCGATGCTCTTGTCAGTGCTTTAACTGGTGTCAATATGAATGCGGCACGACTGGAATCAACAACCTGTTGATGTTGGGGCATTCCTATCACTTGGAAGCCTCCCCCAAGTGGACTCCGTGGCGCAACGGTAGCGCGTCCGACTCCAGATCGGAAGGTTGCGTGTTCAAATCACGTCGGGGTCAAGTCGAAGTCCTTTTTTTTAAAGAAAATTCTCTTTTTCAACAGTATTTAAATACATAATTTATTGTATAATTAATAAGCAGCTTTGATTTACTACAAGCAGCATCATTTACATAATGAGCATTAAATTTTAACATTTAAAATCGTCCAATACGTTTACGTTCCTTATACGGAACAATTTGAATATAACTTGTTACATAGGTTAACATACATAACTACAAATTTGATTACTTTTTATGAACTCTGTTTAAATTGTAAATTCCCTAAACAATTTGCGTTGATTTATTATCAGTTGTTCCCTTATTGCACAATGCATTACTCGTATGTATAAGTTGTAAAAATTATCGTTCAAGTGCCATAAAACTGCATATAAAATTGAACATAAAACTACCCAACACCGGAAATCAATTCTCGACCTCTTTAAATCTCTCTGCTCCTTACTTTCTTTAAGGTAAATGTATTTATCTAACAGAAGTTCCAACAATTTTTACACAAATCAACAAAGCTGCAATCATTGCACTAACTAAATGAAATCAATCCTAAAAACATAAACTAATGGACCCTGTGTTTCGTTTCATTTTTTGTTTGTTTGTATATAAGCGCCTCCAAAAATATTGTAAGGGTTTAGTTGGTCTCGGATTTCAATATCGTCCTTAGTGTCCACTCTATTTGCTATTGACTAAGTTCAGGAATTCCTCACGGGTCTTGGGATCGTCTCGGAACACGCCAAGCATAGTTGAGGTAACAGTTTTGCTGTTGATTTTCTGTACGCCCCGCATCACCATGCACATGTGTCTGGAAAATGAAAAATTCAAAACACATAATCAGAAAGGAAAATACCATCGATTTTAAAATCTATTTTAACACCCGGTACTCGAGGAGTGTAAGCTTCGAATAACATCCAAGCCTTTGAGCGACAAGCAACCTTTTCTGTAACAGGACCTTGAGTACCATGTATATTTCACAAGAAACACTTGCTTATTAAAACTTTTACTTATTAAAATAAATAACATTTTGCATACTTACACTCCCTCTACTACAACAGCTACACCAGCAGGTTGTACTGCTTGAGTTACGGCCACTGCGATCTGTTTTGTCAAGCGCTCCTGGACTTGCAGGCGACGAGAAAAGATTTCCACAATGCTGTTGGTAAGAAAAATGTTTAAAAATTAAAAATATAATTTTTGATACCTCCAAGATCGTATCTTACCGTGCCAGTTTGCTTAGACCGAGAATCTTGTTGCACGGCAAGTAACCAATAGACACTTTGCCGTAGAATGGCACCAGATGGTGCTCGCACATGGAAAACATTTCGATGTCCTTGACGACCACCATTTCGTCATGATCCTCGTCGAACACGGCGCCATTAAGAACGTCTGTCAATAGATAAAAATAAATGGTAAAAAAAATAGAACACTTGCTTGACCCCGACGTGATTTGAACACGCAACCTTCCGATCTGGAGTCGGACGCGCTACCGTTGCGCCACGGAGTCGTTGCTCAAACGACCGCTCAATGCCCCACAAACACGAAGCCACTCAAACGCCTTTACTACTTGTGATTTATGGCGCGCGTAATTCGTGTTAGATTTATTTACTGCATAACTGAATGTTAAGTTCAAGCGAATGTAGGGTGAGTGCTAAAGTAGTTGCCTGGGGGTGACTCGGTGGTTATGGTTCTTCTGGAGTGTGAGCTTTCGCTTTAAACGATGTGCTCTTGGGATTCCTTTCCTTGACAAGTTGCTCAGAATAATGCCGCACACCCACTTTCCCGCTCTTAATATACAGACCGGAAAGCTTCAGTGCGTTTCCTGACCGACCAACAATACCCACAACCAAAGTCTGGGGGGCTCCCTCAATGTCAGATTGGCAAGTCACGTTGAGTCCGCACCTCTTGCGTTCTTCGAATTCGGGTTAAACACAATCCAACCCATTCTATTGCCGAAGGCTGTTCACTTTCGTTTAACTCATTTAGCTTTCAAATGGCCAGCACACTTGCGTTGTTTGTTGTTGATCTTAAATTTACATGCGATTTTATTTGACAAACTGTAGAACCTGATTTTTATCTCGAAGAACCGGTTGGGTTGGCTGGTAGCCGTATTATTCGCGACTCTGTTTGGTTTTTCAAACGACTCGCATTGATTACATGACAAGTTCAAATGCAGTTGCATGTGGAAATATAAAGAGATAAAATGCAGGCCAAATATTTTGTGGCTCCACTTGGCGATGCTAAAAGATGTTAACAATGCTGTTGGAAAGTTCTCAGTCATCATTCTGGATACTTTTGAAGGCTTGTGTATGCAAATATTTATCGCTTTTACATTAACATTTCATGTGGTTTTGGATCGCTTCATTATGCTTTAGATTCGTTTGATACGAGAAACCCGAAATTCTTTTATGGATCTTCTTTTGTTGTTGTTTTTTATCTGTGCACTCACATTCGTAGAGCTCCCGAGTGGTAATTACACTAATGCACTGTAGCGGATTGTGGAACCCCCGATAAAGGTAGAGCACTGTGTGAATCATTGACGAAAAACTAGTTGACTCTCGCACTGGGGAAACCCGGGATGAGCAACGCCGATCACTGACCTGGTGCTAATTGCCGAATTGAGATGTGCTTACCCTCGAGACTCTGGTCGTAGCCCTTGGTGAAGTACAACATGGCCTTGGCCGCCCGCTCCGGTGTCTTGATCAGTCCCTGGCGATCGGGATTCTCGCCCAGTCCGCCCAACAGCAGACGGTACGAACGGGCCATGTCCGGCAGCAGGGCCTCTCGCGTCGGCGGCTTGTGGTCCAGCTCCAGGTCGTGGTGGAACGTACACTTCTCGTGGCCTGTAAAAGTTAAAATACCAATATGAACGAGATTAAAATCATTATCATTAGAGATAGGGAGGCATTGCCCCCTTCGGCGGCTGTGTGTGGCTGTCTATGTACCATCCGCTATTCCAAAGCGCATCTCTGACCTCTGAACCGAAGAACTAACCCACTGATAGGCGGCTGCTTAAAGTTCAGAAAGAGTTTGTCTACCACCCTAGTTCACAGATTAATCGGTAAAAGTAAGCCTAGTTCCCTAGACTTTAGAATCCCAAGATTCCTGATCCCCGGTTCCCTGGACTCGGCCTGACCCCCACCACTACCTGGCGTTGTCGATGTACGCGGTGTCGTTGGTGTTTTCGGTTGTGTACCATCACTATCCGGAGTGCTGCCGTTGGTTTTAAGGATGAGGCGAGGTCTCTGGTTTCCGGCCAACGTAGCAACTGGAGCCACTATGTCCTCTAATGGCGTTCCTGGATGGGCGGCAATGGTCTCCTCCGGCTGGGATGCTTGAGCCCTGTCCGCCAGCGATGAGGTGCCCGAGGTGCTACTTGTTGAGCAGACGCTGTTGTTGCGGCCGCGCGACAGGATGTGGGCCTGCGGGAAGTTGGTGTCGTCAATGGCATCGTTTAGTTCGCTGGCACTCATCTCGGACAGTTGGCGGGTGAAGCTCATGGCGGTACGGCTACTCAGGTTTGTTTGCCACTCGAACGAACTCGGAACTCAGTTTGACGGTTAGCTCGCACACACAATCTTCGAAGTTGTTTTCTTATTTTTTTTTCGCTGGTGTCTCGTCTCTTATTGTTTTTAGCTGGACTTTGGCGAGTGTTGGCACTTCGGGGGGCTCTGCTCTTCTGACGGCTGCTGCGGCCAGCAGTGGCAATAAGAACCTCTCGAGCGAAGCTTTGAGTGGCGGAAAGCTCCATCCGTTCCACCCAAACCCCAACCACCCGCCCTGCAAGCTCTTTTGAGAGTGGCGCTTAGCGGAGATTAAGTGAGCGGAACTAAACCGAGCTGAGCGCAGGCCCACGGTTTGATGTCCACTGACCAGTGGCTCTGAAACTGCACTTGGACTTGTTGCTCTGCAAGGAGGCGCCAGAGCTACAGCAGCAACCAAAAAAATTAGCACTGTAGGATTTATGAAACTTGGAGGGTTGTATTTTGCATCAATCTCTTTCAAGCTTATACTAATAATAATATATCTAGATCAATACGAATTCCAACCGGAGTTGCATGTACCTCAAAGCCTTTTCTTTCCAAGCCGAATTTGGTTGACAAAGATTTCACGTCGATAACATGGTCTAAACTATCTAAAGGCCAACCTATTATCTTGACCTAAAGCGTGTACTTTGCTGCCTGGCGCCAACACAAAGTGTTCAAGGCTGCCTTCTTTGTCGCTACGGATTGTTTGCCGTATCCTTCAGTCTCACCCAAAACTACTCAACTCGGTGACATACGTCAAGGGGCACTTAAGTTAAACATTCAAGTGAAGCAGCTTGGCTCTGAGCTGAGAGAAATTTCCAAATTCTATCCATCCATCCGCCCCTGCGTCCGCTTCGGAAGTCCAGAAGCATGGCGCACCGCCTGCAACTCCGGAGCGATGACTTCGACGTAATCGGCGCTGTGCCGCGCGATCTGTCGGTGATTAAGAACTTTCTAAAGCGCGACTGTGCCGTCAAGAGGCTGATCGACATCGAGGAGGAGTTTCTGCAGGAGTGCGTATTGCGGGGCGAGGATCCGATGAAGCCGAGCAGGAAGAGTGGCAACGACATCGTGAAGCGTGGCAGCGGGCTGGACTCCAAAGTACCTGAACCTCAACCGGATCCCTGTGCGAGCAAAACGCCAGAGGACGCATTGGCGTCAGACTTCTGTGATCCCTGCCGACGGCTCAAAACATCCGTGGTTCTGGAAGAGGTGAGTCACCTATACTGGACGCTGTTCCATATTTCTCGCCCTCAAACATTCTAATTTAAAAGGAATTAGGTCCCATCATGTTACTTAGCTTTTTTAAAATGTTTATGAAGTCACGCCCTCTTAAAAAGTCATAATTTCATCATAAAATAATAATACTCAACCAAGTCAATATATTAAAAGCAAATTTCGGCTCGTTTAAATCGAATATTATAAACTAAACACATTATCCGCAAGATCTTAACCTACTAGTTTGAACTTAAACTTTGTTTGAATCTTTCCCTTTTATCGCTATCTATTCCCAACAATAGCTCACAAAGCCGGCCACAACAAATCCGGTGTACAACAAAGCCCTGCCGCCGTACTTCGACGAGGAGAGCGTGATGGGCAACTCGTTGCCCGTGAAGTTCCGCTTCCGGCGCAAATTTAACCGCTGCGACCAGGAGAAGCCGGCCAACCTCATGTGTTCCACCACTCCGAGCACCAACGTCGTGGTGCTGACCAACTGTTGCGACGTTATGGTGTGGCCCAGTCAGCGAGTGGCCCAGATGAATCGAGTGCCGGTGACCATGCTGTCTGGCGAAGGCGATCTTACCGAGTATATGCTGGAGGAGGAGACCATTATGTGAGCGACTCTCCACGAAATGGCAGCGAGTATGGATACCAGTTTGGAATAAATAATTCAATAAAACCTTTACCCCGTCCACAAACGTCCTTATTTTGCTCGGGAAACCCTGCAGCATCTAACTTGTTGGGTTTCTATTGGAAGTGTCTGTGCCCTCAGCTGTCCAGTTTTTATTATTCCCCGCATAAATTCCGCATCTCATCAATTTATACCCCTCGGACTCAAAGAGCTGAGCATGCTAATTTTTGGAGCCTTAACGTGATTCCTAACTTTTTGTGGAGCGAGCAGACAGAGAATCTGTTTTTTGTACGAAGTTGAAGGTTAGGAATAACAATATTCTTTTTGTACAATCAAATGGAACATACAAAAATGTATACGAATTTCGAGTAGAATGTGGGTGAGCTGAATCCGAATTCCTCATCGGACAACAAATTAGAGAACATGCAGCTCAAAGTATTTTAGAGAAACATAGATCAGTGCGATTACGGCAGTGCGAATACATTCCCTAAAAAATATTTAAGAAAAGAAAAAAAATTGAAAATGCACTTGTAGTGTGACAAAAAACTTTTAAAAAAGCCTAGACAATTTTACCACACATCACATAAGCACATTAAAACCTCCAAGCTCTTTAGGGTAGAATAAATCAGTTGGAAATAGCACAGGCTGGGTTAGTTTACATAAAGAAAAGACAGCTGCAGGTGACATAGCATTGATCGTTCTAAATGATGTGACGTAGCCCGGCCACAGTGGTACCTCCCTAAGGGCCACATCTCCTCGACATGGGGAAATCTCAAAGGTAAGGCTTAAAAGAGGACATTATTTTTTGTGAATAATAATTCTATGGTAAACCATTCTAGGCACTGAAAGTTTTAGTTAGTCGCTTCCTGAGTTGTCGACCTGTTTGGCGTGCAATGCAATTAAGCCACCATTAACATTTCCACAGGGCAGGTGTTCTCTCCGGCTCTCTGCTTCGCAACGTGAAGCCCACAATTACGCATTACGGAATCAGGAATGCCTTTGAGCGACTGTGGATCCGGGGACTTCGAGCTGGCAGGGTTGCCACCGCCTGGCATTTTCTCGGAGAATTTTTTAAGTGCCTCAATTAGCGGCGAAACACCCGTGGGGCCCGGCTCTCAGCCAGCCAGTCAGTCTTTTTTATTGACCGCAATCGCTCAAATGTGAAGTACTGTGGCTCGGCTTATTAGTCACCGACAGACACAAACTCAATCTGAGGGGCAATCGAAGAAACTGAAAACGGCAAACGGCAAAAGCCCACGAATCGAAACCGTTTGGAGCGCCGTACTCGCAATTAAACACTTTTTTAACCTTCACAAAAGTAGTTCAGGTCTGTGTACCCTCCCCTCACCCAACCACCCTTCCTTTGGCCAAATACCGGATCACAAGCCGAGGGGTTTATGTCTTTGTCTTTGGCTCATGGCCCAGAGTTGGCTCCGCTCTCGTTGAATCTGCCGATCGAATCCGATCCGCCAAGCAAATCTTTCAATGTCAATGTCAATAAGCCCAGTCCAGGCCAGTTCAGTGCCAAAGCTAGTAGCTCTCTAGCACCACCTCTTTTCGGTATACACATAGTTCCTCTTGATATCCGGCACTTCGTGTGGTTTGCATATGGGGCAGAAATCCGAGTTATCGCTCTGTGGTTTATGTTCTCGGATTTATGCGGCCCAGCATCGCCAGAAATCAGAGTAGTATCATTATGAGCATCTGATTGAATTTCAATTTCGCTCTACCTAATCTTTGTGTGATGCAATGACGGGCCAAGATTACATCTCGGCGCCATTAGCGACTTCGGGGGGTTTGTATTACCCGGAAACTAGATCTAGATGAACATCTACCAGGGGTATTCTCCCTACTCATTTTTGTAACAATTTTAATATTACTATGCTGCAGAATTAAAAAACAACCAACGAAAAATTTTTGAATGAGCTGTCTTTCAACTATTTAAGTTTGAAACTTAAAACATGCATGTTAACTTGTTAGATCAACTTACAAGTATCATTAATATTATTAGAATTATTTTATAGTTAAGAAATGTCATTTTAAAACGAATAAGTCGTGCTTCGGACAAACCCTTATAATATAATATTTTGAAACGATTATAATTATTTCCCTAATGAATCACATTCTGTGAAAAGACATTACAAGTTAGAAGATGTAGTCCTATACACTACTAGAATATTAATCATGTTGCAATGGGGTTTACTTTGCTTTGCCAACGGAAATGGTTCAAATTGAAAACACACTGTAAAACCCCTTAATTGGGTATTTATTTGTATGATAAAGACAACACTTTGAAATGTACATCTACAAACTCTGCAACTCAAGCCAAAATAAAAAAAAAAATTGATACGATTTGATTAATAAAATATGTATCAAAGTAATATTGAGTGAGCTGAGACAAACTAAAAATGTATTTAATATCAGTGAAAATAGTTTCGAGATTTACCTATGCCATCTTATTCTGGGTATTTTAAATTTTTATGTATTTTCGGTTGTAATTTGATTGAACTATTTTGGAGTGGAAAATGAAACGAAAAAAGAAATAGTCTTTTCGCTAGATTTTTTTCTAACTACCCTGTGACTCAGATCAGGAAAACATCCGGAGTCACGGAACTATTCTATTTCTTCCGGAGAACTCACCGCTTCCATTGCTGGCCAGCTCCATGTTGAGCATTTCCAGTTTCAGCTGCTGGCTATTTTTGGTGACCGCAACATCGGTGGTGGAGGCAGCGGAGGCTTCCGCCGTCGGGATCGTGGCGACGGAAACGGCGTCTGCGGCACTGTCGCCATTTTGGGAACTGCCATTTTGGTCGTTCGTCTGGGGCTTCATTTTGAGTATGATTATTGACTGACTTTCGGGGGTGGACTCGACGAGGACTCGGAATTGTTTGATGGGCTTGTATTTGGGATTGTATTGCTTGGGGTACGATCGCGTTGCGGTTTTTGTATTTGGCGCGCTCGCTCCGAATTTGACTGCCGACTAAACCGCCCGAGATTTAGTTGTAACCTTTTTATTATGAAAAATCGAAAGTTCTGCCGCGAGAGGCAGAGCTCGAGCGCTCGGCAGTTTTATCTCGCTCTGTTAACTGTAATTGCTCTCCGTTCGCCAAAGCTTTTGACTCTCCGCTCCGGTTTAAGCTCTACGGCTGGGAAGAAGTCCGGGGACTCCAGGAAACAACTTTTTCACACTTTTTTTTCTTGGATTTACTTGTTTGGCGGTCAAAAAGTTTCCGAAATTTTTGTTTATTTGAAAAAATGTTGGCAGAGTAAACATTACCGAAAAAAAATAATAATTTAAATAAAACAACAGGGCCGTTAAGCAAACGTTGGCGCCTGGCTTCGCGGACCCCGGTGCAATAATTACGCTTTGATAACCCGACTGCGCCTGCATCGTTAACGGGTCGTTGGCAATTATGGGGCGATAGCGTTCGATTTGCAACAACACATCCATTTTCAGGCTAAATTGTGCATGCCTGAAATTTGTTCGGTCATCACGGTTCATTTGGCGCCTGATTGCGAGCCCCTAAAATTGAATTACGGCTGGACAGGAGACAGGAAGAGACATCTTGATTTATTAAGACTGTAAAGAAGCTACACTTGATGTTTGCGGAACGCACAACTTCTTCAAATTTTATTATTTAAAAGCTTCTTTACTTGCATACTTCTTATTTTTAATTTTCCTGAAATTTTGTGTCTGTTGAATACTTCTTTTTTACTTTTCTAGCAAATTAAAAAAAATAAATTTATGGACTTGTAGTTTGATAAATCGCGATTTTGATGTATCAGAAATTAAATCAAAAAACGTAAGTCTTCATTTTTTCATAGTGGAATTGGAGATTTGGCTAATAAAACCTCTTATTGAATTACAATATAAGAAAACTTTTTGAATATGAGTAATTTTAACTTTTCTTAAAATATTTTTAAACTCTTTTGAAATGTCTATCTTCAGTATATGTAACCGTTAAGTTGGGCAAGTTCAAGCTTTAAAGCAACACGGCTGGATATTACATTATCAACTCATATTACTACTACTAAGTTAAATTCAATTTTTTTCTTGAAAACGCGAAGTCGGCCAAATGAAACCATACTTCTTACGGGTAGAATAGCATCTTAGGCCATACAAAAAAAAAAGGTAGAATTTTTTGATAAAAAAAAAACAAAAGAATAACTTAGAAGAAGACTCTTTTACATCCCAAAAAGAAGAATTTTTAATATTAAAGGTTTTTTATAATTTTGTGAGAAAATTGTATTTTTATTTAATACTATTTTTATTATTTAACTTTTTATTTACAGCTTAATTTGTGATTGCACTAGCAAGTTGCACTTCACGACATATTTGTTTTAATTTACAGCTCAACTAATACGGATGCAATCACAGGTATAGATACGAATACAGCTGAAAGAGCAAATCTCGCGCTGCGCTTGCGCCCTTTCGCCGCCTTGAGCGGCCAGTTAGTCATGCCTGCGAAATTATAAATAATATTAATTAGCCATTAATTGGACATTTACGTCCGATTTGCATGGCAGCCAAAAAAATTGTACTTTTAAATTTTCCCGCAATTTGCCGTTGTGATCCGTTTTTAATGGCATTCGATGTCATTAGCTGACGGCACAGCGACTTGAGTTGTTCCCGGAAGGCAGACGGACAAAGAGCCGGTTGGCTGAGCACCTCCCACATCTCACAGCTCCTGTACCTCACCGCCAACACCCTGTTTGCCCTGAGCCTGCCGCTCCAGCTTTTCCTGCTCCATGTTCTCCAGCTGGGCAAGAGTCAGCAACGAGATGCCCAGCTGATCCTCTCGGGTGAACGGTTGCGCCATTCGCCTTAGCCAGCGGCGAGCCAGCTGCACGGCCTCCTCAGTGCTTAGGTTACAGAAGCTGTCCACCAAGTGCTCCTGTATCCACTTGGGCAGACGCGATCGCTTGTCGTGTCGCGAGAAGCGCTTGTCCGCGAAGATCATGATGCCGTAGTCCGTCTTCCCGCGGAGCGCTCGACCCACACACTGGGCCGCATGGCGCATGGCGTCGAAGGTCAGGAAGTCGTTCTCACGTATCTGAAACTGATCGCGGAGGTAGTCCAGCCGGGCCTTGAGTATCCGCGACTGCGTGTACACGTAGGGAATACCGAACATGAGCACCGCGCGACCATAGTGATGGTCGAAATCCACACCCTCCGAGACCTTGCCACGCGCCACAGCCAGCAGCACTGCTCCACGACCACAATCGCAGGCCTGAAAGTCGAAATGAGAGCGTTGGGGTTACTCAACCCTAGGAACAATTTGTCTATACCCTTTCCCTATTAAAAGTTGTTAATATAAGATTTTAAGCAGGCATTAAATGGTACTTAGCAGCACAACAGAAAAACACAAAAAATTATAAACCGACTTCGATACAGGCATTCTATTCTATTTCTATTCTGAAACAACTCTTAATTGGTTAATATAAAATAATAGAAAAACCATACCAATCGTTATTTGGTATAACTAATAATAAACTGATTAAATACAAAACCGAGTTGACGATGTACCTGTTCAATGTTGATGTTTATGTAAACAACTAACTTTAAAATAGTAGTAATTTTATATTATAAATGAAATGGCATTTTTATATTTCTTAATAAATTCTGTATAGCGTCAAATCAAAATTAAATTAAGTTTGATACATTCTGACTCAAATTGTATATAATGATAAATAAATGAGAGTGGAATTATCTGAATTGTTTTTACGATTTGAATTCTATGAATTTTTGTGATTATAGAAACTCAATCAAGTTGCAGAAAAGTTAACTTGCACTACCTATTAGTTAAGGCAACTATAATTTATCTACAAATGTCAGAAGTAGGCTGACTGAATCAACATGATCCAACCTCCAAGGGCGTAAATCATAAAGAGAGCGAGGTTGCTGTGTCAAGCACATTCGGTGAGAAGCCATAGCAGTCTCATTGTGTTTTCGAAAAATTAAAAACATATTCTCACCTTAACATAGTTCATAAGGGCGTAACTCGTCTCGGCGTTGTCCTGGGTCTCGATAAATAGCAGCTTGTAACGCAGCAAAGTGTCTACGATTCCCTGATCATACCAGGAGGCCACCACTGACTCCAAGTACAAATAAGATGTGAAGAAACAAACAATGCCATCAGGTACTGTCTTTGCAACCTCCACCAGAAGCTGGCCATAGTTTCGGATCACTGCGGTGTCCTCGCGTGTCTCAAACTTGGACGAAATGGTGACTTGGTCGTTGCCTTTGGACACTATCTATTGGGAAGACAATAACGTTAATAAAATCTTCTAATTTATATTGTAAATATTACCATCGGAAGAAGACATGGACGGGCCAGTGTCATGGTAAAGCTGCTCATGACCACGGGATCAAAGTCGAGTATTTTTGGGTACATGTCCATGGGCGACAATGTCCCTGAGGTGATGACGACAGTTTGAAATCGCGAAAACACTGGAGCCATGGCGATAGAGGAGTCCAAGCAACTGAAGTGCAAAATGGGATTCGATACAGTAGGCGTTTTGTCGTCGAAAGGCTCTATAATAATGGTGAAGCCTTTCGTGTAAGTGGACACCAGGGTGGCAAAGTGTGTGATCTAAAAAATACGACATATATTAGGCGCGCTCTATAGATAGGACAAAGAATAACCCACCAGAGTCAGAGCTCCGAACTCGGTCATGTCACTGATTTCGAGTGTGCGCAACAGACTTGACAAGCGCTCAGCACAGAAGCGCAGGGGTTTGCGCTCAATACAAATTTTGGATGATATATCCTTGAGGAAACCGGCCGGCGACTCCTGAACAACATGATGGACGCGCAGTCTGGTTTTAATATATTCAATGAAGCGACGCAAAAAGCTGAGGAAGTGGTCGGCGTTGCGTATGTTTCCGGGAACCACCTCAGTCAGGACATCGTTAGGCAGGACCGGATTGGCCAGGATCATGTCCGTATCCCGCTGAACACTGGCATCCTTCAAGCCCTGAACCATGCGCTGATACTCTTCGTTCAGACGATTCGTATCCTCTTCGCGAATGCTGGAAGTAAAAGCAACAGTTAAGCTCGGTAAATGAACACGACGAGCTGGCAAACATACTCCTGAACCATTTTTGTCAGTTGATTCAAAGCGTTTGTGCTGCGCTCCACGGTGCGTCTGTTGATCTTCACACTCATCGAATCGATGCAAACATTGTCGATATTGTGCGCCTCATCAAAAACCACGCAGGACTCGCGACTCATCTCCTTGGATACCACCTGGGCGATCTTTGGATCTAGCAGATAGTGATAACTGTATACCACAATGTGAGCATGTGCAATCTGGTCAAAACAGAGCAAAATGAGTGAGTAAAATAGGGTCTAGGCTCTTGGTTAGGTCCTTCAATATCACTCAAATTGAAACAGAGTTTATCCTTTTTAGCTATTATTAAATATTTGAAGTAATTCGAAACATTATGGAAGAGATTCAAATCTTCTAAGATAATTCGAATCTATGTGTAAAAGTACTTTTTACATTTGGAACATTTCCAAAATGTAACTTAGATTTTATATTCAATAGTGTTTGACAAATTTCAAAACTTTAAATTTATCAAAGATTAATAAAATAATTTTTTGGTGAATTTTCAAACTAAATTTGAACAAGAAATGTAGCAAACTTCGGCAAGCTCGCTCCGACTTATATACTACCAGCAATAGAAAGATAATTTTTGGGAAAGTCTTAACCAGAAAGCTTTAAAACTGAGGGACTAGATTGTGTAGAAACGGCCCTCTGCAAGGGTATACAAAAAATTGAATTAAAAAGTCTTACCTAAACTAATTATTAACTTCTACAAATTTTACAGCGCAAATGTTTTGTCTCAAAATTTTTAACTCCGAAACAGTTTAAATAAAGGTAGTTTAAATGAATTAAGACTTTTATACCAACATAACTAACGAAATTTCACCTATAAATTATTCATTCCATTTAATGAGCAAAGGAATGATACTTCGAATCCTTCGAATGACCGAATCGTATGGATAATACTGAGTAACAAACATTTAAAATCTATATTATGATTTGAATCATCGGATTTCATCACATGACTGAATCGAGTCCGAATAATTATTAACTTTTAGTTGATACTATCAACCACAAAACTCACTGCATAGCGGGCTAAAAAGTAGGGACACCAGTTGCGGGAGCGTCCATATTCCTTGAGATCATCGATGCTGTAGACGCCCACCGGCAGGGTGGACTCCTTGCCCTCCAGGCTAAATCCCTCAAAGTACTGGCCTGCAAGTAAGCCCTTAAAATGTTGATGCTCCTTAAATATAAGTAGAGACCATCCTTACAAATGGGCGTTTCCGTATCCATCTCGTGCCGGTCGCGAATGTAGCTGGCGGTAAGTCCGTAACACTTCCCATCCACCGCCTTGCCCTCGCGCTCCTTGCTGACCTCCGGATGGATACACATATTCTTCCGAGAGCTGAGGACCAGGCCAGTAAAGGGCGGCGGAATTGGACAGTGGCGCTCGTAGTAGGCCATCAAGTTTTGCAGTTCGGCGATGACCTTCTCAATCTCCGGCACGGTGCGAGAGCAATAGATCAGCTTCCGCACTGTCTCCGGGTATTCCACCATATAGGCTACGATCAGGGACAGCAGGGTGGCGGTCTTGCCCGTTCCCGAGGGCATCTCCAGCAGGCAGTGGCCCTTGGCGTCCAGGCTGCGCTTCAGTTCCAGCATGTACGCATATTGCTCCGGGTAGATGTACTCGTAAGGGAAGTACACCAGCAGGCCGTCCACGCTGAGCCTGTGGATTATGTTGTTAGAAAGGAACCTTAAGTGATCTAATCCTGCAACTTACTTCATTTTGCGCGTATTTATTGGTAGAATAATCTGCAAATCCTTCTTGTTTCAAAACCAGCGTGACCGGTCAGCCAGACCGCTAAAATTTACAACAGGCCTCTGGAAAACATACTAAAATATACCGCAAGAATTACACTAGTCGACAAGTATAGATTTTCTTTTCGCAAGCCTAGATTCAGTGATGTCAATAGATTTCTCCTTATAAAATAATTAAATTAAAAAGGTATTTTTAATATAAAATATGTTTTTAATTTTTTACATTTTTTTTATCTGTAACACCGTCAATAAGATTTGCTTATTTATAGTGCACTTTTGTTTGTTGTACTGTTTGTCTATCTAATTTTGTTTTTAAATTTCTTGACGACCAGTGTTATTTGTAAGGAATATTTGTGGTATTTTATCCCGAGCCTTTGGTATATTTTAACAGTCATCACCCGGTCACATTTATTATAAACACTACTATAGTTAAGACCAAAGTTTTACTTTAAACGTATTTATTTACATAAACACTACCTCTTGATCTTCAAATGGACGATCTAAATCCACTGGCGGGAACGGCTCACCTTCTGGAAGAAGTGGACAGTGAGTAGATACGAATAAAACCGAAAGAGGAGTCTTAAATCCGGCACCTTACAGAAAAGCTAATGGTGCTTTTGAGGGACGGACGAACTCTGATTGGGTACCTGAGATCCGTGGACCAGTTTGCCAATCTGGTGCTGCAGCGAACCATTGAGCGAATACATGTAGGCAACGAGTACGGCGACATTCCACGTGGAGTCTTCATCATTCGGGGCGAGAATGTGGTGTTGCTGGGTGAAATCGTAAGCTTAATTAAATCCTTCGATATTACTGATTTAAGACCTCCAAACACCCCCACAGGACCGCGAAAAGGAGCAGAAGCTGCCACTTAAGGAAATATCCGTCGATGAAATACTAGACGCCCAACGCCGGGAACAGGAACAGCGACAAGAAAAGCACCGCTTGGTGTCGAAGGCGCTAAAAGAACGCGGCCTGGCCGTGGACGCCAACATAATTAACGAGGACTTCTGCTAGGCCTCCATCTTTCACTATGTTTATAGATTAAGCTCAAATGATTTTCGTCACTTTGTATATTTGTACTGCATTAAAAAACTATGTTAAAATCTATGTACATAAGTAGCTATGTATCCTGCTTAGCCCGACCCACCCGTATGTGACCCCGTTCCACTCTCCTCGAGCAGTATGTACTTTTCCAGTATCTGGTACATCTCCACCTTGGCCTTGATCTTGTGCACTCGCGACAGTTGCCGCAGGTAAGCGGCGATCGACTTGCAGAAGAAGTCATCCTCCGTTTCCGAGTTGCTTGGAGGGAGGACGGCAGGTGTATTTACTGAATCGGGGGCGGAGTGCTCTCGCTCATGGCTTGCGTTGGGCATACAGACGACATAGTTAATGTCCGCCTGGCTTGGCTCTACTGGTTCACACGGCGGCGCAGAGATTGCCTTCGCAGTGGCAGCCTCCGGATGGATAGTAACCATTTTGACCTTCTGATCGCACTCCGACTCGCCGATAAACTCTTCGAAGCTCTCCTGATCCGGCTCATGGCCATCATCCGCCTCTACGAGCACCGAATACGTCTCCGACTGCGTGGTCTGCCCCTCCAGCTTGGCGTCATATTGCTGCTGCTCCTCGCCCTCTTCGTAAACCTGGGAGCTGTGCTCCTCAATAAGGGCGTCTGTATCCAGGGGCAGGCGGATGCGACGCCGCCGCATGTCTACTTTGAGCCACCCGGCTGGCTTTTGATCCCTATCCCGGTCGCGACCTCTTCGTTCCCGTCGCTTGCGCACAAAGTCTCGCAGGAAGTCCATCTTCCGAAAGAAGTCGTTGTGGCCGAACTCTCCAGATGGATGCAGACGCTTCTGCTTGAGCTCCCGGGAGTAGCGATCCCGAAGGCAAGTCCAACGACGTCGCGCGTCCATCGTCGATATGTTGAGCACATCCGCCACTCTGGCCCAGTCCTCCTCTTTGCGTTGCGACAGTCGGAAGGAGGGCAACTGGGGGTCGTACAGCGATGGCGTCTCGCGGATGGTTTGTATCAGCAGGATATCCGAGTCGTCCAGGGGACGGTGGTTAGAGCTCATTTTGTTGCAATTTGTAACTTAATATTTTTAATGCAGCTTGCAGTGCTGGTAAATTCCGCATTGGCTGGCAGTGTTTCAAAGGGTTCGGTATATTTTGCAGAGGTGGCGGAATGTGTTGGGAAATGCCGTCTTAGTCATGTACAATTGAGGTATTTTTTTTGTATGTATAAATTTATGAAATTAATAATATTTATATGTTTTCCTAAAATTATTCTTAAATTTGTTTAGTGGTTTCAAATGGCTAATAAACGTTTACAAATATTTTATTTGATTTTCACCAACCGTAGAATTTTTGTTTACAAATAAAGAAAATGGCAATTTTGTTATTGCTGATCTTGTCTTACCATCTCAAACATGTATAAATGCGAGGCTATTAGTATCATTTTCAGTTTTTTAAAAACAATTAGTGCAAATATATTTCAAAACACACCATTTCCAATTTTATTTTTTGAGTCCGAAAATAATACCAAACTGCTATAAACGGTCACACTGCCGTTAACTGCGCCTAACAGCACTATTTCTCTAAACGCCGAGGTAATTGTCAACTTTACAGGTGTGGCAACGCTCGTGGCTATAGGGCAGCCATTTTTTTCACGCTTTGTAAAAAGTTTTTTAAAAGTCGTGGAAACCGCAGAAAAACTAATAAAGTAGCGCTTGGCTGGTTTTAAAAGTTTGTGTGGACGGACCAAAGTATGCAAAACTAAATTTTGTGTGTGCGCGCCGTGAGTGAACGAAACAATTGATCATGGAAACAGTGGTTGCCTTCAACAATGAGGTAAGCTATAGAGCCTTTTGCAACGAGGTGAGTTATAAAGCCGGCGTGGTTACACAATGTCCGGTTAAATTCGGGGAGTTCCTATATGTGTATAAAAAGAATGATCTTCCTGTAGCGCAGGCAGAGTCCCTAATTTTCCCCGACCAGCGCCGCTCAGGGTTGCTTCCCGATAACGATAACCCCGCGGGGGCTTCACGACCCAGAAATCCCCGTACCCGTAACTAACTCCTCCTGTCTTCCAGCTCTCCGGACTCTATGACAGTCGGCCGCCCATTTCCAAGGCCAAGATGGCCGCCATCACCAAGTCGGCGATGCGTGCCATCAAGCTGTACAAGCACGTCGTCCAGAGCGTGGAGAAGTTCATCCTCAAGTGCAAGCCGGAGTACAAGGTGCCCGGGCTGTATGTGATCGACTCGATTGTGCGCCAGTCGCGGCACCAGTACGGCATGGACAAGGACCTGTTTGCGCCGCGATTCCAGCGCAACCTCACGGAGACCTTCGCCAACTTGTTCCGTTGCGCGCCCGAGGACAAGAGCCGCATCATCCGGGTACTGAACCTGTGGCAGAAGAACAACGTCTTTAAGTCGGAAGTCATTCAGCCAATCTTCGATCTGGCCGATCCAAACCACCCCATCTACCACCAGATGCCGCCAGTGGGTGGCGGCGGCGGACAGGGCGGCAGTGTGGGCCCCGGTCCCAGCAGCAGCGGGGCCCTCAGCCTGGCGGACATATCAAGTGGTCCCAACGGACTCAACAACTCCAACATGGATCTAAGCATGGGCAGCTCGGTGGGGGATGATAAGATGGGCGGCGCAATGCCCGATTTGTCGGTAAGTGAATGTTCCTGGTAGTGGCTACTTGGATCTGGTATTGGACTCTGGCTAACTAACCCATCATCTGCTATTCTGCTGCATTTACATTTCTCTGTCTCTCATGTCTTGCCCACTAACCGCACCTTTCGTCCTCGCCCACTCGCTAGCTGGGTCATGAGAAATTCGGCGGTGGCAGCAGCAGCTCCAAGCGCCACTATTCGGAGCAGCACTACTCCAAGCGCCAATCTGGCGCCTCTAGCTCGTCCAAGTCCAGCAAGTCACATCATCACAAGCGGGACTACGTTAAAAGCTCGCACGACCTCGACTACCAGGTGCGCGATATCATCGAGGACGAGGACGACGGCCTGCAGATGATGATGGCCGACGACCACCACTGCATGGGCGATGACTCGCCGCCCACTTCATCCAAGCTGTTAGACGTATGGCGACCCCCTTTAGCCCTTCATTTAGATAGTTTCGTTTAGCTTTAGTTTCGTTTAGCTTTAGTTTCCATTTGTTGCAAGCTTTTCTTCGTTCAATCCTTTATTAAATATTCTTGACCGACTCTTGCAGAACAACAACCTCAAGCAGCTGCTGAACGATCCAAATGTTCTGCGGCAGCTGCAGACGCTACAGAACTTTCAAAAGTTCAAGCATCAGGAGGACCAGAAGCACCGTTACCCGGACGAGGCACTTCAGCAGCATTTCCAGAACGTAATGAAGGTACATCGTGTTGGTTTACTTGGTTATCCTTGTTGTTATAATGATTGTCTTTCAGGGAAATGCTGGCATGCCCCCGGGCATGGGAATGGGCATGGGCATGAGCATCAATTTAAACGACAGCATGGACCTCAACAAGGATGTCGAGTTCATATCGGAGCAACAGTCCATTGAGGTATACCTTTCAACTTTTACTATCTATCTTAGTTTCTGGGGCCTTGTGTATGCTTTTAACCAAGACCAAGTTATCACAGTGTTGGTTCAAAGCATAAACACCGCCCATCCAAAGTGATGTATTAGATTGTAATCGGAAGTCGCATCAGATGCCATTTGTCTTGTGCTGACGTGCAGTTGAACCAGATAATGTGCCCAAAATGTTGTTATAACCGATGGAGTATCGGCATGTTCGAGTCCAGATATGTTCAAAAAACTAAGATTGGGGTGTTTACTATTTGAAAAAAAAAAATAATAATATACCATCCATATTTCTAAGGATTTTATTCCCATTTCGAAAATATTAACTTTAAATACCGTGTGAAAAAAACCGTTAGATCAAAAAATATGCCTTTGTGCAAACCCAAACCCAGTTTTTAAGGAAGAACTTAATGCCCCTAACATATTTTTGAATGATAAAAAAATTGCCAATATTTGAATAAGTCAATTAAAGAGTAAACGGTTAAAAAATTATATTAAAGAGAATCCAAAGGTAAGGTTTTAAAAGCCACGATATGTCCGGCGGAACAACCCGTTACCTGATGCTATAACAACGTTTGGTAAGTTCCTAATTTGTAAATCAAAATGTTGCTCGAAATCGAAAAATGCCAATTAGTCCGAAAGAACTATAAGAATCACCAAAGTCTAAAGCGAAACAGAACCACACGTCAACACACGCCAAAGAATGCAGTTTATTCAGTCGTTTAATATCCCTCCTCAATCCCGTTTCCGCTCTATCCCCCACCATCCTGGACCCAATAAATTTATATTCTTACCAAAATGTTAACTTTTATCACGTATCACTTCTCTCAATTTCTTGCAAACACTCCCGTCTCCGATAGGTGATCAACCTTGATGGTGCCGATTCGCGGAGTCCGACGCCCGACCGCGATCGCTACAAGCGCAGCCGCCGGAGCAGTCGCAGCCGCTCCAGATCTCCGCGGGGACGAGGCGCAGGCGGTGCTGGAGGAGGAGGGGCTGGCAACGACCGACGGCGACGCAGCTCTCGCTCTCGATCGCGCAGTCGATCCCCACGCTCCAGCCGGCGCCGAGCATCGCGGGACCGGGATCGAATGGATCGGAACAACCGGGACAAGGAGCGGGATCGCGAGCACGAGCGTGAGCGCCGCAAGAAGGGATTGCCGGACATCAAGAAGGAGCACCTCAGTGGTAATTATGAAGGAAAATCGTAAAGTGGTTCTCAGTGGGCGCAAGGAAATGGGCGCCCTGAGATCCATTTTAATCGGATTATTTTTCTTTGTTTTTTATCTTTCTGCTAATCCAGAAGAATATTCTTTTTTCTCTGCAGCTCCTTGGCTTGGTTGACGTGTGTGTGTGGTTTAGCTTTAGTGGTTCTTGATCTTTGTATCCGGAACATTTTTTAAACTCCCCTCACTCTATAAATATGCGTTTTCGAGCAATATTTTTGGGACCATTCCCGATTTACATACATATACATAAAGAAAACCTTATAGACTACGAAAAAAATGTTTACAGAATACTTGTGATTCCAAATCACTAGTTCTCATATATTGCCAATTCGGATTAAAAAACATTCTATTTCCGATCAGATTTGAAAAATATAGTTATTTTAGGACTTAACCTAAAAAAACGGCTAAATAGAATTCTATCAAAGAATGTGGTGACTCACGTGTATTTTACTTTAAAACATCAAAATTTTGGTGCTAAAAATCATTTTATTTTTTTCTACTTGTCAATCTTGCGATTTACCAAACAGAAGCGGTCTTGCATGCCGAATTCCATATTTTAAACTTTTGTAGTTCCCAAAATATCGATTTTGTATTTCCGAGAAAGAATTGACAAAGTAATTTTGAACACAGACTTTTATATTTTTAGTAGCATATTTTTTTAAGCAGTTATAAGAAAGGCCTTTTGACCGTTAAAGTATAATATGATCAGATATGATCAAGATTTGAGCCGGTCTTAATTCATTGACATTGAACATGAGTTCGTAAAGTACAAGTAACGCCCTCGCACAACTAAAGAAGGAATATATATGTCTAGAGATGCGAGTGTTTCTGTACCCCTTTTAAAATCCCTTAATTATGTTATAAATTTTAAAAAGATGAGAATAAGTTAATTGTTTTTCAATAATTAATTGTACAAATTAGGAACTGGTTTATGTCTCATTTGAATATCGGATCCTTGTCAATGCTTTTGATAATGCATCGAATTAAAAATTATTTCAACCAAATTATGTGAAAACGACGACATTTAGATTTTCTAAAGATTAAAAATAAAAAATATTTAGCACTATAACGATTTAAATGAAATGCACACCTCAACAAGGTAATCGGGCTTTCAACTCACTCGTGTACTACAACCTAATACTGATTCCAATGATTTTTGCCTTTCAGTGTGCAGCACTACGCTTTGGGTGGGACATCTGTCCAAGCTGGTTTACCAAGAGGAACTGTCTGATACCTTTGGCGAGTATGGCGACATAGTCAGCATCGATCAGATTGTACCACGCGGATGCGCCTTTATTGTAATGAATCGGCGCCAAGACGCCCACAAGGCCATGCAAGCGCTGAAGAACCACAAACTGCAGGGACGCGCTATTACAATCTCGTGGGCAGCCGGAAAAG